GCCGTCATCATCAGAAAATGGTGTAAAAATAGGCGACAATGTTTGCTAACATGCGCCACCTCCTGCTAAAATGCACCATCAATTAATTGGGGGTTAAAAAGTAATTTATTAATTTGAGATCGCTAATGGTGTTGGTTTAAGAGTAGAAATCTAGAATTTAGGAAACCAGGGTTAGAAACTTGTCATTTCGTAAGATCGCTAATGGTGTTGGTTTAAGAGTAGAAATCTAGAATTTAGGAAACCGGGGTTAGAAACTTGTCATTTCGTCAAACCTACTTTGGGTGGGAACATGTCTTTTACTTTACCTAACAATAAATCTCATTTAATGAAAATTAGATATTAATCAGATAAGAATAGTCTGATGTAGACCCTATATGTTATTGAAACTTTATAGTAAAAAACTTTAAAAAAAAAACACCTTTTGAATTTATGTCTTTCTTTTCTTAATTAATTTATAATTCTTGTGGGACTAATCTAATCCAAAGTCCAAACATACCAAACTAATTTTTTNAAAACTTATAATTATAAGTTTATAACCGTTGGTGTGAGTTGACCGTTGGCTGCCAACGGTTATAAAAAATTTTATAACCATTGCTAGCCAACGGTTAAATTTTTTTTTTTAATAAATTTTGTAAAATTTTTTTTAGTCCTTATAATTTATACTTATTTTAGGGGGTTTAATGTAATTTTACAAAGGACTAAAATGATAAAAGGCAAACAAAAATTTGGGCCCGGGCCCGAGCCTTGGAGGAGGGCCCAGTGGAGGGCTCGGGCCCTCCTCCTTAGGCCTAGTCTCGTTTTGGGACCAGGCCCCCTAGGACTGGTCCTCTCAAGGACCGGTCCTAGGACCGGGTTTTGGAGCTGGGCTTTTGGGCCCGGTCCCAAATGCCCACCTTTAGTTGCGTTGACTTTTAATATGAATTAATAAAAAAATAGGGAATTTTCTTGGTGTAAACATAGATAGTAACTCAAATTTCTTTAATAATTTTGAGCAGCTAAATGGTGACGTTTGAAATATAGGAAAGTGGTTGGTGAAAAGTGAAGAATAATGTCCTTTAAAATATAGTCAATGTTTTAATTTGAGAAAGCAGGTTCATTCAGTTTTTAAAAGTTTTAAGAGCGAATAACATGAGAAAGAGAAAGAGAATGAGAATGAGAGAGTAAAAAATTTTGGGGATAAAATCATAAAAACCAAGTGGAGCCGTGGAGAAAAAGACTGGAGAAAGTTTTAAACTTTTAATATGATTTAGGTTTGGAATATATATATTAATAGCAAGCTTTTTGTAGACCTAGATATATGTATAATAGTTCTCATAATCTAAGCCCTAAGGATGAGTCTGTGTATATATATTAATTAACAATTTTTGGTGGCTTGTACATTAATAATTTTTTTTTTTTTTTTTTTTTTTATAAATCTGAGGGTAGGCTTAGGCCTATCCTCAAAGGGGCTAAATCCGCCCCTAATCATATTATGTAAAGCCATACCATTATAACTTGTGCAAATAGACTTGAGATTGCATAGAGAAAGGAATATCCCCCCCCCCCCCCCCCCACTACATAGATGCAATAACTAATTGCATAGGAAATTAACACGCATTAGAGTTTTTTGGGTTTGTTCATTATCTCACATACATATTCTATAACGAATGTTACTAGTTTTAGTTATAGCTAGATTACGTCGATATGTTATACAAATATACCAACAATGGTGAGAGGATGTATTGTAGCAAACCGCGTTTTTATTTAAAAAAAAAAAATTATAAGGAAGTAAAGGTCTTAATTGATTCAGTTATTAATTAAGCAAATAAGATTGAATATATCAAAATGAATAAGAGGAGAACGGAAAAGACAGGAGTGAAAGGCACTTGTTTTAATGGTTTGGAGAATCTATAAAGAAAGCCATTACCATTATCATTAATAAAATCAATAATTAACTAATTATCATTAAGCATTTTCTGGTGGCCCCCCTCGAAGTCATTGTTATTGCTTATTAGTGAATATGGGTTGAAAAAAGGATATAGAATTTTAAGGTATGATTGATAAATAGTAAAAATATGTTTGTAAAAATTGGATTGGAAAAAAATATGATAAGGTATATACGTTTAATACGGCATTTCAATAATACATTTTAAAAATGATAATATCAATCCAGTTTTCACTTTTCTGGACCACCTGATTAAAAATAAAACATTTTAAATTAAAGTATTCAATTAACCAATAACTATTAAACCTAATAAATAACTAAATTCACAATATATAACTGTGGAAGTCTTGGACTTGAAGCTTGACCTTGTAGAAGAGATCAAGATCAAGAGTCAAGAGATGAAGAAAAGAGGTTACAAAAGAAGAACGTTGAAGATTTGAAGACTGTGGAAGAAAAGTAGAGAACTGAGGAAGAGCCGAAGAGGAGAAGGAGAAAGAAAATCTTTAATTTTTTAGTCAAATCCCACCCAAAACCACGTCTTTTGATTGTTTACTTAATTTTTTTTTTTTTTTTTTTTGCCTACAATGATTCGGCAATAATACGTATAATTCGAATTAACAGATTGACATATAATAGGTATTATAGACACTTGATAAATAGTAAATTCGAGGTTTATATGCGAATATACGGTAAGCCGATAATTTGCATAAAACGCAATTTACTAACTAGGGTTATTGTACCTAATAAAGTAAAAGCATGTTCCCACCCAGGTGTGGCGAAATGACAAGTTTCTACCCTTGGTTTATAAATTCTAAATTCTCACCCTTAAATTAACAAAAATCGTTAATAACAGTTAAAGTGTAAAGTAGTCATATATTGCATTAAATCTAACTGTGGTTACAAAGGTGGTCTCAAGGAAGTTTTCGAATGAATCAACGAAGGAAAAAGGGAAAAACATGTGACACAATCAGGTCGCGCGATTGAAAACGATGGGTTCAATCCGTCAGGAAAGTTGGGGTTTTGAAGGGGAGGTCAATGACGTGAAGATAGTGGGTTGTGGGGTACCGACAATGTCAAGATCAGGCTACTTTGCTAAAATGGCAGCGCGCGGAACGTGAGAGTGTGGTTTTGAGGGGTTTGAGCGTTGTGTAGAGGGTACACGATATGTTGGTGTGAATGATTGAAGAGTAGCGCTAAGTGACGTGAGTGCTGGGTGTTCGTTGAGGCAAATCTCGAAACAACTAGTATGCACGAGGAGTAAGGGAGGGGGTGGTTGCGTTGTCGATGTGTCAAGTGGGAGGGAGGAACTATTTAGAATTAAATTGTCAGAATTAAAAACACCACCGAAACAGCACCAAAACTCCTTAAAAACAACCCCGCCAATCCCCACTCCTCCAAAAATATTGCCCCCCCGAAAACCACAAACTAATTTCACCCCAACTCCAAACTCAGGGAAACCCAGTTTAGTAACCCCAAACTTCACAAACAAACTTTGCAAGAACCCTTAGAGAGACGGTCACTGGGTGATCGGAGAGAGAAGACGGCTAACCGATGTTTGGGGATTGTTTAGTAGGGTTTTGTTGTTGAAGAGAGAGACGGAGGCCATTATAGTGAAGAGTCATGAGAGTGGTCGATTTGGTTGTCGCAGGTGACGGTGGAATGGACGTGAATGGTTGGCAAGATGCCAAATGACTGTAATCGTTTGAAGTGATGTGATTGGTGACGTGAGTGCGGGAGGGAGGGTGAGTTAGTACTCGTAGTGTGTGTTTGATGATGAGGGTGTAATTAAGTTGTATGTGTAGGAGAGGTGATGTGATTTTGTGTCTGTGTTGAAGGAGAGGAGGTGATGATTGGTGGGTGATGGATGCAATAATGTGTAAGGTTTAGGAAGACGAGTTAATGTAGTGGAAAGAGTTGGTAGTAAAGAAAGAAGGGTTAGATGGGTAAAGTGAAGTGATGTAGTGAGTGACAGACGGAAGTGAGATAGTGATTGTGTGAGAAGTCGAGATTAGGGAATGGTGAGAAGAAGCTGACAGTACGTCGTGTGTGCGACTAGTCGATCATGATTTCATATCAGGGAGAGTTGAAAATGGTGATAAGTGGTTAATGTATGTGGAAATCTGTGATTTTTTGGTACATAAGGCATGGCTCTATAAGTGGGTTATGGTGTCCTGAAATCATTATGGAATTGATGATTGGGACGAAGCTGTATATTGTGTAAGAGGGGTAGTGTTGGAGATTGAGAGAAGTATTTTTGGGATATGTGAAACGTAATCTTTTTATGAATTTGTCCTTTGGATGGTATTAAAATGGTAATAAAAAAATAGGCGACAATGTTTGCTAACATGCGCCACCTTGCTAAAATGCACCATCAATTAATTGGGGTTTAAAAAGTAATTTATTATTTGAGATCGAATGGTGTTGGTTTATAGAGTAGAAATCTAGAATTTAGGAAACCAGGGTTAGAAACTTGTCATTTCGTAAGACGCTAATGGTGTTGGTTTAAGAGTAGAATCTAGAATTAGGAAACCGGGGTTAGAACTTGTCATTTCGTCAAACCTACTGGGTGGGAACAGTCTTTACTTTACCTAACAATAAATCTCATTTAATGAAATTAGTATTAATCAGATAAGAATAGTCTGATGAGACCCTATATGTTATTGAAACTTTATAGTAAAAAACTTTAAAAAAAAAAACACCTTTTGATTATGTCTTTCTTTTCTTAATTAATTATAAATTCTGTGGGGACTAATCTAATCCAAAGTCCAAACATACCAAACTAATTTTTTATTTTATTGGGAGGGCGACAACTTTTCTCACAACACGACAACTCAAGTGCGTTTTAGTGTTTTCCAAAGCCAAAAATAAAAATACAAACAACCTACCGTTAGATAACAGTTTACAGATCGTAAAGTTGTCGTTCACAAACCCAAAACAGACAGAAAATAATAGAGACACTTAATATCACAGGGGTATTTCGGTAATATTAAATTAATTATATAATGAAAAATAATAATAATTCGATTTTTTTTTTTTGGTAAAAAGAAAAACAGCTTTTTCCCGATAAAAGTCATTAGTAATTTAGTATATTCTGCGGGAAAAAAAAAATCAAAATTGTACGGACTGTTGAAAGTCAGATCTGTAATTGTAAATACTCTGTTTGGATTGAAATGAATTAAATTGAAAATTTGAAACAAGGATGATCAGCTTCAGCTTCGAATGAGTTGGTTGTCAATGATAATGGATAGTGAAACGGCGTCGTCGGTCAATGAACATGCAGCGGCGGCGGCGGCTTCGAGAGGAGGAACAACGGACACCACGGGGCGGCATCGTATTCTGGCTGAACTCAAGCGTGTTGAGCAAGAATCAAAGTTCTTAGAGGTTTTTGTTTATTTTATTTTATTTTATTTTAGTTTTTTCTGTGTTATTTGATTTCAGTAGGGAAGGTGTTTGTGAAAAATACAAGTTTATTAAGTTGCATTATTATTGTAATTTGGAGAATTAATTGTAATGATGGATTTGAATGGTTAGTAGATAGTAGGAGGTTCAGATTTTAGTTAAAGACTACTCCTTTCATGCATTGATTGACTATTTGTGTTGACATCTTCAGTGTATTTATTTGTATAAAGTTCAGAAATTTGCAAAGCTTTGAAAGAAGATAAGGTTGCAAAGATATTTAAAAAAAAAAATGCTTTAATTGGCAAAAATAAGAGGGATAAAATATTTTGTTGGTTTGGCATTAAATAATAAATTGTAATCTTAAGACAAAATAAAGAAAGGATATGATGTGTTTTACTATTGAAACATCAATTTTTTTTTTTTTTTTCTTTTTTCTTTCTGGGCGATTGATGTAGCTGATGAAATCATTTTTGTTTGCGAGAATGAATGTCTTTAGGGAACCATATTACTTGAACCTTTTAAATCCATGTAGATGTATGTATATTGCTGGTGCCAAATTCTTATTAAAATGGTTTTCGTGTGACTCCCGAAGGTGGGATTTCGACCCTTCTTTTCTCATGCAAGAAACCATTTTTATTGAGTTTATTAACTCTCAAAAGGATTGCAGAGCTGTGAATAATTGCGGTCTTGACTGACTATTCAAGACCATGATACCTAAATTCAATCTTCAACCTGAATCTTTTAACATGAGAAAAAGAGCACCTAAGATTAGGCTTTGACATAATGAATATGCAAGTTTTGGATATGATTTGTGTAAAAAGAGTACTTCTCTTTTCGTTGGAGTGCCTGTGTGGAATTATGTCATGGAGACCCCTAAAGTGCCTCCCTTAGATAAAGAAGAGAAAAGAACTGGTAGGAGCTTAAGTAATTATTATCTTGACTCTAAGGGTGCCTTAACATCTGTCTTGCATAGGCCTTCAAATTTCTAATAGTAATGATCTAGTTCTATTTACTTTTAAGTCCTTGGCAAACCGAAATTTTACATTTTTGGGTATGTTTAGGCATTCTTTCCTTGTTAATATGTTCAATTTTCATGGAAAAGTATTTGAGTTTGCTCTCTTTATAGAAAGCTCTCACATATGATATTTGAGCTTATTCTCTATTATTTCCATATCTACACATTCTGTGAAACCGGACTGCCCCCTCATTGACAGCAACATTTTTTTTTTTCTGTTGTTAAGTATTCCTCCTTATGCTTTAGATCTACAGAGACATTCCGGAAAGGGTGACAATGTCATTAGCTTTGAGTTTTGCCATCCGGCTAGAGGATTTTATGTTCTCTTGATCTTTCCATCTTAAGTTTCCCTTTTTAAAGGTGAATTAGTTTTTATAGGTATGAGTTATAGGTCACAGACTAAGGCTTGCTCTTTTCTCTTTTATGCTGTACATTCACAAGATACAGAATTTTTTTTTTCAACTTACAAGTTTTAAGAAGTAAGAAGAAATATTCGTCCTTGATTTTGCTTTGCTTTCTTCAGCTGTTTTCATGCATATTAGCTTCAGTTGGTAGCTTCTCCACTATATTGCAACATTTTTCACGGACTTATATCAACAACTGTTTCTTCTTTTCTGGTACAATCATCTGTATTTGACCATCAAAGTTGCTCAAAGTCATGGTGTGTCAGCATATAAACTGCAATTCAGAGTTCTTTCCTGATTACTGATTCATGTTATCTTGACTGTTTTCACAAATTTTATCCAGGAGGAGTTGGAAGAGCTTGACAAATCAGAAAACGTCTCAACCACATGTGAAGAGTAAGTATAAGTTCTGTGAACTAGGCTTCAGGAGGAGATTTAGTGTTTTTTTTTTTTTTTTTTTTTTTTTTTTTTTTTTTGTAAGATACAGTGGAGTGGATTTCTGGTACTTGGTTTGCTCTCTTTTACCAACCAATAAATTGGGGCATCCCACTGTTTGTGTCCCGTCATTGGCTTATTAAATCATTAGCTTATAATGTGAGGTTCATAGCAGAAATGGAGTTACCTTATAGAACTAATATCAGCTTTGTCGCTGTCCCTCAGGTTGCTGCTATTCATAGAAACCGGACCTGATCCTCTACTCCCAGTGTATCTTCTATAACCTATTTCCTTGCCTCGTCTTTCTTAATCCATTTTGATTAAATTTCTCATGCATGTTCATCAATTTATTTCAATTACAGAACAACTGGCCCAATAAACCCTATTTGGGATCGATGGTTCGAAGGGCCTCAGGATGCACAAGGTTGCAGATGCTTGATACTCTGATTTGTTGCTGTCTAACATTGATCGCCACTTATTCCTCGAGACTTCACCGTATGTTAGGATCGAACGGGTTAACATCTTACGCCATAATTGTTGAACAAATTTTTCCCACTGTGCATTACCAAATTCTTTAGGTTATTCTTGTTGTGTGTACAATATTGTCTATTCAGATGAGATTTGTAAATCAATTACATTCACTGCAGAAATTCTGACCAAGTCGATTTATCGAATGAATTTGTTTGTAATATGTGAAGATTAACTAAGTTTCATAACAAGTTTGTTCATTGATTCAAATAAACTGTCATGACTCAAAACCATGTACAATGTCGAACAGGGGAGTTAATTAAAAGATGAACATGTGCATATCAAACTTCAACCTAAAATAGAAAATTTTTACACATAATCTGATCTAGAAAATACATGATAAAAGTAATCGGTCACTAGCCATTTAGAAAACGCGGATTTCTGTCATCAGAACTAAACTTCAAGGGGGCTTCAACTGTCGTCAGTACCCATAGGCCATAAGTTGCTTTTGAGATGATAATAGATGTCTAAGCTGGAGTAGATGTTCGTCGTCTGAGATGTTAAGGGAGAGGCGGAGGTTTGTTAAGAGGGATTCCTGCTCCCAACTCAATGGACCTGAAGCATACAATGCCTGCACAGTCGACTCGTATGCATGAAGCTCTAGTTCATGGATATCAACATCCAGATTGTATCTGGGAGACGGGAATATGTGTTTTTTGCCAGATAAAGAAGGAAATGATGACTCGGCATCAGAATTGTTGGATTCATTTTCTAATGATTCACGATGAGAATCGGGAAAATCATTAGAACTACAGCTAGCAATCGAGCATTCATTGCTATCTTCATTAGACCAATGAGGCATAGAAGAAACATGTAACCGGTTGTTAGTTGCATTTACCATTTCAACATCCAGCATTCTTGCTCTCGGAGAGTGAATATTGCCTACCTGCTCATACAACGGAAGGGTTCCTATCATAGTTCCGTTGCATCCTCCTGCACAAGGACCTGATTTTCTTTTCTTGTGGCTTTCTGCAGGAAGCAGATCATTGGAAGAAGTTTCACAATGATAAGCAAAGCTTCTGTTTATGGTTCTCATTTGGCAATACTTGTTAGAATGATCGTGCTTTTTCTCATAGCATCCGTTTCTATCCTTCCCTCTTGAGCGAGATTCCTTGACTATCTGTTTTAATGGAACACTAAAAAACAAGTCTGAGGAGTGTTTTGAATGATTATGCGCTGTAAATTGTTTATCTCGAGCAACCTGAAGCAAAAGGTGCACATTTGTCAGAAACAGAAAAGGGTCCTCAATCAGCACAAATAACTTGTTATTCAAACTTTTCTCATGCCTGAAACTGTGAAATGATAGGCAAGAAGAAGAAAATTTTCACTGAGTTTATGGCAAGACTCATCGGAATAAACAGAATAGACTTCGGTGATCTAATTACAAATGATTTTTAACTCCATCAAACACTAAAATAAGTAAAATAACAACTGCTGTCTTCTTTTTCTTCCCTCAGAAACCAGCGAAAGTAACTTGATAAACATTTTTTATATCAAGGTTTTCAAACTTCCCTAAACCACATGGTTAAATACTAATACCACTAGATACTGAAAAACATTGAGATTGCCAGGAAAAACATATTTCTCTCATTGAGTTCACAGCAGCACATAGCATAATAGATTTAACATACAATGATGACCTCACAAAGGGTGCTTTAAAGATGTTTCACAGAATCCATGAAGCGATAAGTCAAGAACAATCATACGTCCTGAAAAAAGTCCACCATAACCTAACTTTCTGGGTGCATCTTGAAAAGTGCCTCTTTGACACATGCAATTAATGTAGTTAGGAGAAACTATGGTCATTTGTCTTTTTTCATGACAAGAATAAGAAGCTAAGTTAAAGAATACGAAACCTAACAAGATTATGTACTAATTCTCTTTCTTCCTTTTATGACCTTATGTAAAAGAATTTCCATTTTAAATGCATTTTAAAGGCCAAATGAATTACATGTAACACGTTCAAGAGACAACATTGTCAAACACTACCAGTATCTGAAAATTTTCACCAAAATTATACAAATACTACTCCAGCTATCTCAAGGTTAAACAATCTCATCATCTTACAATGAACATAAGAAGTCCTCACTTGAAAATATCAATCATTTCTAAATGCAACTTACTATAAAAAAATCAAATAGAAAAGGTCCATTGACCAAATGGCACCCTATTTGCAAAAACTTGAGGACAAGTTGTAAGGTCATTTTGATTTTCATCAAGAACAATTATCAAGTTTTTCATTAGATAGAACAACTAAACCAATCCTATATTTTGTATGCACAAATGGATTTCAAGTCATAAGTATAGAAAGGAAACCACAAGAATAAATATTTGAAGCATGAAACTAAGGACAAACTGACCATAAACACGATAATAACCAAATCTTGAAGCTGAATATGACACCAAATTGAATGAAGAAGATAACATGACTTTACCTTCCCAATGACTGACCACTTGTTATTATGCCAAGACTGTTGAATTCTCATGTTACATTCATGAAATTCTTTAAGTTGAATGGACCCAAATAACCTAATGACAAACCAGTTCTTCCTCAACACCTTTGCAACTTTGCCTACCCTCCAACATTGAGAATCAAACACCTCAGCTATATCACTGACCATCCATCTTTTCCCAGTCTCATGCGGTGGCTGAGGCCTAACATCCTCCACATGAACCTTCTCCAAAACTGGCTCTCTTTTGTGGTTCACAAGGAATTTGTACTTAACAACATAGTGATTTCTAGATGCTGAAATTATAGTTCCAGGAAACCAAGAGCCACCTGGATCATGTTCTCTTCTTAATACCTCCACTGAGCTCCCATTCCTGAGCTTCGTCATTCCAAAACTCTGCCAACTTTAAAACTGAAAAATCCCAACATCAGTGCCAGAGTTTCATTATTTCCAAATCAAAATAAAAATAAAAATAAAAAAACCCCAAATAAAACAGGAAAATGTTTATCATCATCAACTGTTACTGTCAACAGTTCAAAACTGCAGATAGAAAGTACACACAAGTCTATTGTCCAAAATAAACAATTTCCATAAACCATCCACAAATATACTCTGAGACTTCTATTTTGCCAAAACAGATCAAGAAAATTTATAATTTTGAACATCTCAAGAGTTCAAAGATTTGAATTTTCAAATCTCAGACTTCCTATTCAAAGAAACCCAGCCATCTTCCAAAAAGTAACAAAATTTTAGGAAAATAAAAAGAGATAAAAGGATTGCTGCAACCAACAAAATCATAAACACCAGACTGCAGCAAACTAAGAACATTCTACACAAAACCATGAAACCAGTTTTACTTAACAAAGAATATCAACCACAAACTGTACCAAATCAACATAATAAAGATGCAATCTCGAAAAGCTACTCGAACATCATCTTCATCTTGCCCAGTTTTCAGCAGTCCTCACAAATACCCAGTAACAAAATTCAGAAAGACAACAAAAACTCTAAAGACCGCAAGAAAAAAACACCAACCCAGAAATTAAAATCCTCAGATGACATAATATTTAAGGAAAAAAGAATGAATTATCAACCAAGAAACCAACCAAAATGAAAGCCACCCTTCTTGAATTTAAAAATAGTCTTATTGCATGATAAAATTATAGCATCACCCCACCAACAAAAAAATTATCAAAGATTGAGAAAAATTGAGTGGCACAGACCTGGAAGTGATGAAGAATGAAACGAACAGGACACAGCTTTGTTGTGATCATGACAACATCTAAATTCTTAAATTACTACAAAACTGACAGTAACTTAAACCGGTTTGAAGTTTTGGTATTATCACGTAATTGTCTCACCATTCGGAAAAAAAGAAGGTAATGGACCATTAATTTTTAGTAAATTTTTCTTGTATTTAACCTCACATTTTTCATCTGGACAAAACTTCCATGTTAGTATTGGACATTGTGACTAAATGTGTTGAAAATCAAGCTTCTTGAAGAGGCCCATCTCCCCTCAAATCCATTACTTATTTTGTCAAACAATTTGGTCCAAGTATGTCAAGCAAGTTTGACCACATCAATATTAGCATTTTAATTGATGCCATGCCCAAATTTTGGTGTACTGGACTTAGAACAGTAACAATAATAACTCTTGAAAAAGATATTAATATCGTAGTAGTTTATGGATGTGAGATCACTTGAAAGATTAGTTGTATAATATAATTATCATGAAATCTAAAAGAAATGATAATGATGATGATGGGAGCAATATGTAAGTTGATGGATTTAGAATGAAGAATAATTAATATGAAAGGTATTAAGAATGGACGGCATGCACTTTTTTCATAAAAATATGAATTGGGTAATGGATGTAATTATCGTTAGCATGACATAATATAAAATTGGAATAATTGGGCATGTCATGTCATGTATATGAGATAAGAATTGAATATGCTATGTCAATTTGTGACCCAACCCATATCCATATCCTAGAATTCAAGCTTTTTAAGAATCAAAAGCAATGTTTAGAAAACCAAACCTGCTCAAGGGTCCGGTTCATGGTGTGACTGGTCCGATCGATCGGACTGGCAATGTCAGTAATAAAAAGATTTTTAAAAAAAATTGTAAATTAATCTTTTAAATTTTAGTATATTATAAAAATATCCCAAAAAATTGTTAATTAGTCCCTGAAATTAAATATATTTAAAATACCAAAAAATTATAATTAGTCCCTAAAGGTTTGAAATAATGTAAAATATCCCTAGAAAATTATGAATTAACTCCTATAAGTTAAAAATCTAACAAAACCCCCCTAGAACTTGAACTATATCGGAGAGGCTGTCGGTTCCCGATCCGACCACCCGGTCCGGTCTGGTAAAAGAGTTTGATAAAAGTATCAAGTCAGTCTTCAAGTTTTAATAAAATGACATTTTAACCTAAATTTTTTATAATAATGAATAAAATATAAGAGGGTCTAGAATGAATAAAATATGACAAATGGGCTAGACAAACGTTGAGAGCCCAAAATCCGGAAAGTCGGCCCAATGAGAAGGAGGCCCAACATAAGCTACAGTAAGTTCTTAACTGGCATGACATGTGGCACAATGAGAGAACATATATTAAGTGAGAAATGCTAGATGTACAAAGACTCCTACAAAGAGTCTTTGTACAAAATGATGTGATAGCTGTCACACCACTAGTTTGTGAAAAGAAAGAGAAGATTGATGTGAAACTAGTGGTGTGTTAGATGCCACATCACTTTGTACAAAGACTCTTACACTCTTTGTAAGAGTCTTTGTACCTTTAGCATTTCCCATATTAAGCATATCCTAACTAAATTAAGACTCAAACACTTATCCTACTACCTAAAAGTAGGAGACCGTTTTCTCCCCCACTTCTCATTATCTTAGCAAAAACATTGAGCAACATCCACCATATTTAGGCCAATAATGTTGCCAAAATCATGGCATGTGACCCTGAAAAGTTTCCCTATTTTATAAAGGCTCAAGCTATATAAATCCCCACTAGCGGCCAGTTTAAGGGTAACCTAACACTACACACTTAATCCCTCCTCAATTATTAATTATTATTAATCTTGATCTAATATCTAGTTTGAGTATCGAAATTTTACTTATCGTAGGTGTTGGATGAATCTATGGGTTTAGGTAAGTTTGATTGTTCAAGCAACAAGAATTCTCTTGGATGATTTTTTGCACAAACAAAAATCATGTCAAAAATTAAAATACCTTTTGTTGACAATAGTGTTCCATTAGGCCTAGTCCACAACAATTGGGCCAAGATGGGCAACTATGAATTGTGGGCTTGGGCTTGAGTGAATAAAAGCTTGGATGTTGGGGAACTATGGGCTTCGTTGTCTACAAAAGAGTAATCGAGGTTAAAAAGGGGCTCGCAGAACTGCTTGCTGGTGTGTCTTCTTTGATCCTCAAGTTAATGGTTTTTCTCACAAAAGTTTATATAGTTTAGAATACAAATAAATTATTTAACTCTTCTGAATGGGAGAAGAATGTTTCTGCTTCACAAGATTCTAGGTTGTGAATGAATTAGATGGTGTGTTCTTCCTCAATTTAGACCTGTGGACTTTTGTGTGATGGGATACATTTAGTAAATCAAGGATGGTTTTAATTTTTTACTTCCAATGATCAAACCAACTAGAGGTGGGCGCTTGGGCCAGTCCAAATTGGCTGGGACCGGTCTTGGGTCTATCACTTTTATGAGGGCCCAGGCCGGTCCTAGCCCAGGCCGGTCCTAGGCTTGAGACCGGTCCTATGCAGGCCTAACAAATGTGCAAGCATGTATAGAACAAGTTCTGAAATTAATCGGGCTTGGGCCTTGGAGAAGGGATCAGCCTAGGCCCGATCACCCTTCTCCAAGGCCCGAGCTGGTCCTAAGACTGGGCTCGAGCTTTTTGCCTACCTCTAAAACCAACTCCTCTCCTCACTGGTCCCACGACCATACTTTTTTGTCTAAGTGGGTCTCTTACTCCACTTGACACGTAAAGCTCTTCTAAAAGTTTAGTATGAGGTTATGAGCAAGTGTCACCTGGCCTTTTAGGGTTGTGTTGAATAATTTCATAAGACTCTTAGAGTACATTTGGTTTAGGAAATGTTGTAGTACTAAGAATGTTATATTAATGAGAAGATAGATTAATTTGAAGATTATTGAGAATGTTTAGGGAAATGCGTTTGGTTAGATTTGAATAAATTGGTGGGTATGTTATATTTATATGTTTGGTTGGAAGGAATAAATTGGTGGGTATGTTATATAGATTACTGAATTGCCCTTCTATTTTAATATAATTGTTATTTTAAATTATTTTTTAACCCCTTACATTTGTTAATTTAGCTAAAGACCCCCACAATAAAATTTTAAAAATTAACTAAAGCACCCCAACCACCCAAGAGGGCAGCCAGCCGCCAATCACCACTGCCGGATGTTCTTATTATCATTACAATAAAAATAAGTAAAACAAAAAGTAAAAAGATTATAATTATCTTTTTTTTTTCTTTTTTTTTGGGTCATTAGAGTCATAAATTTTAAGAAATTTGTGAGATGGAGACCAGTGAATATAGACAAGTTAAGAGGAGTGCCACATGACACTTATGTTAATTGCTAATTTTGCCCTTTCATTTTTTATTTTTTGTAACATCTGTTAGTTTTGAGGTAAGTATACATTTTGAAAAGTTTCGGATTAAAATGTCATGTGTTAAAATTTGAGAACTAAGTAATACTTTTACAATTTCAAAACTTCCAGGACTAAAATGTCTTTTTAATTTAAGATTTCTATTATTCTTGTTTCGATGCATCACCTGAATTGTCATTTTATTACAGGATGATTTTTTTTTTGGTCAGAATGAAGTACCTATTCCTAAAAAAACAAGGCATACATATGAGAAAACAACATACATATGATAGTCATAGACTAGAAGACAAGCAAACTAATCCAATTGGATGTTAACGTCGCTTATCCTGAAGACAAATCCTCAATATACTCGTAGGGCAAGAAGACAACCAATTCAAAGGCGAGAATCTGATGCTGTCAACCTTGCAACCTTATGCGTTAACATATGAGCTTCTCTACGGATCCACTGAAACTCAACTAAGGAATAACTATGTGCAAGCTTGTGTATATCTCTCACAATACCATCAATCTCCCAAAAAACCTTTTCCTTCCTACAGGCTATAATAAGATCTAAACAGTCTGTTTCCAGTAAGACCCTACTCAAACGCAGATTGGCTGCCAAAACTATAACTTCCCTAATAGCTAACGCCTCTACTACAAGGGGGTTGTAGCACAAATTTTTTTAATTTGCCTTGTTAATAACATACCTTTGTCGTCCCTTATTACAATTCACATCACTCCATTGTGAGAGTGCTTCATAAAAGCTACATCACAGTTGATTTTAAACCAATCATCGGGGGGGCTCCAATTATTACAGATTGAGGTGGAGGTTAGGTGCTCAATCACGTTAACGGAAGGCTTGCAAGATTTGACTTCCATATTTAGCATTTTAACTTGTTGAATTGCTTGCATTGGATGAATTTTTGCTCCCCAAAACGCCACTTCATTTTGCATCTTCCAAATTACCCAGCAAAGATTGGCAATGAAGACTTTGGCACTTTTCGGTTTTTCCAAAGATGAAGACAACATCAAGAATTTTTCCAACAACCAGTCTTCTAGTTTGACAACCTATAGGTTTCTAACATCCCATTGGAAATCAGTGGCAAACCAAATCGGATGAGTCCAAGCACATCCTAGAATAAGATGTTCCATAGATTCTACAGCATCATGGCATATTGGGCACAAAGAGTCTGAAGCTATTTTATTCTTAAATAAATTTTCTTTGGTAGAAATTGCATTATTACAAAGCTGCCATATAAACACTTTTATTTTTGGCAATGTCTGTAAGCCCATATCTCGTTCCATAGTTGTTTGTCAACCACCTAGGATGTTGATGTATTGTTATTTTTGCTAGGAAAAGCCTCCTCCCTGGACTGGTGGTAACCTATCTTCACATCATAGATTCCATTGGACTTGTGAGGCCAAACAATTTGGTTAGGATCAGAGTTCCAACTTACAGGAATAGCTACCACCTTTTTTGCATTTTCAACCCCATAGACTTCAACTAATTTATGATGATCCCAAGATCTACCAGTCAAGGAAAACAACTCCTTCACTTTCTGATCTGTTTGTACAATAGTCTTAATGTCTTGCATTCCTGGTGGCATCCAATTGTCATCCATAATTCGAACGGAGTTGTCATTATTCACCTTCCAAATTGCTTCCTTGAGAAGACTTCTGCCAAACAACAAAGTCTTCCAACCCTAAGAACTATTCTTTTTGCATGTTGCCTCCCAAAAGTTTTTTTGAGGGAAATATATG